TGCGCGCGGCGCAGAGGCGACAGCCCCTTTTAGAAAAAAAGGGCTCGCCCTCCCTCCGCGAAGCCCCTTCCAACTTTTGAGAGGCGAGGGCGCCTGTTGAGGGAGCAGAAGAGGCCCCCGAGGCCAGACGACGGGAGGACCAGAACCAACAAAAAGGGGGGGAAGAGGCTTCCGGAGGTTGTCAGGAAGGCCTCGAGGCGGCCTGGCTGGGTCCTGGCACAGGCCGAAGCCGCTTGCAGGGATCGCGAGCCAACGCAGGGGTGGCTCACGCTGGAGACGTCCTCGCTCCTCGCCCCCCCCACCCATCCGCTTCTCTTCCTCTTCCTCCTCTTCCTGCTCCGCCTCCGTCTCCTCCTCCTCATTCTCCTCCTCGTCCCCCTCCTCCTCGTCCCCCTCCTCCTCCTCCTCCTCCTCCTCCTCCTTCTCCTCTTTCTCTTACTCCTCATTCTCCTCCTCCTCCTCCTCCTCCTCCTCCTCCTCCTCCAGGTCGGACGCCCAGGCGTGGGTCACGCTGGAGAAGAAGGCCAAGGGGCGAAGGGATCTGCATACTTACGGCGGCCCTCCGGAAAAACGGGGAGGTCTTCCCCGTGTCGGCTCGGAGGAGTTGTCATCATGTCGGGCATGTTCCCGGGGGAATATTTCCGAATAGTAGAAAAATAGTCTGGAGACGAGCGTTCTGGAACAATGTTTGAGTTTATTTTTGACTACTTTCCATCTTTGGTCGGACATCCTCTGTAGGAGGACATGCCCGATCTAAAGTTGGCATCCTCTTCTTCGGCGCAGGAGGCTGCGGAAGGGAGGTGGAAGCCGGCAGAAGTAGAAGAAGCCTAGGAGAACGAATAATGACATAAACAGAACAAGTCTGAGGTCCGCGCGGATTTCTCGGATCCGCGCTGGACCTCCTTGGCGGCGCCTCCAGCGCCGCTCCTGGCGCGCTCGGGTCCAGCGCCTGTTTGAGACATCCGCTCGGACCTCCGAGTTGTTCGTTTATATAATTGTTCGTTCCCCTAGAGGCGGCTCCGACAGCGGATGCCGGCGGAAAGCCGACGGAGGCCAGCGGGAGCAGAAGTCGCCCTCCGAAGAGATGGCAAGGTTTTGCCTGGCCCGGTTTTCCGGAGCCCGCCTCACATCCATCGCCCTTTACCATGCGCACCCTGGGCTCAGGAGCGCCCCCCACCCCGTGGCTTGGTCGGACAGGGCACATCCGCCCGGGCATCCGACGACGTGTTTTTCGTTCTATCTGCGGCCCTGGGCATCCCGATCCTTTCCCCGAGGGGAGCGCTTCGCCCTGGGTCGGTCGATGCTGGCCCCGGGGCCCGACGACGGGCCCCAGGAGAGTGCGAGAACGTGGAGAGCGCCGGGGCTGAAGAGAGCACATCGTCGGAGAATGGGCACACCGGCCCCTGGCACAGGATGGGCCTGGCCGATCATTGGCGGTGGAGGTGTGCACAGACCTCGGGCGAGCGAAAGGCAGTCAAGAGCAGGCCGCCGTCGGGAGCCCGTCAGCGTTCTATATATGCCCCGTCGTCCTTGCCCGAAGGCCTTACAGTGCAGTTTTCAATACATGGGATTTTTCCCCAAACGGAGCTTGCCTCTGTAGGGGTCTTAGCGGATTCATAAGGTTAGGTTAGGTTTGCCGCCGATTTTCGCGGCACGCCCGGGTGCCCGGGTGCCCGGGGGTGCCCTGGCGCCCCGGGGTGCCCGGGGTGCCCGGGGGTGCCCGGGTGCCCGCGGGTGCCCGGGCGTGCCTGGGGGTGCCCTGGTGCCCGTGTGCCCGGGTGCCCTGGTGCCCGGGTGCCTGGGCGTGCCCTGGGGTGCTTGGGGGTGCCCAGGGGCGCCCTATAATTCGCCCTATAGCCCGATAGCCGTATAGCCCTACAACTCTATAGATCTATAGCTCTATAGCCCTATAGCTCAATATTCATCAGGTTAGGTTAGGTTTGCCGCCGATACTCGCTGCACGCACGCCCGGGTGCCCGGGTGCCCGGGTGCCTGGGGGTGCCCGCGGGTGCCCGGGTGCCCAGGTGCCCGGGTGCCCGGGCGTGCCCAAGGGTGCCTCGGGGTGCCCGGGGGTGTTTTATAGCCCTATAGCCCTATAGCCCTATAGCCCTACAACTCTATAGTCCTATAGCTCTATAGCCCTATAGCTCAATAGCTCTATAGCCCCCTAGCCCTATAGCCCTGATTGGGGTTTTTCTCCGGTATCATTAAACAGATGTGATAGTTTAGCACATGATGAATGCATGAATGAGTTTATGCATGAACTCATGGTTGTTTTTAGTACTAAATCCGTGCATGTTTGATACACGATCCGCACGCGGAGCATGTCTTAAAAACGGCCCTGGATTCTTCGTCAGCAGTAGAGCTCTCACGGCTCCCCCACGGTGGCGTGTCATTCGTACCCCGACGCTGTGGTTCTGTTCTCCAAATTGTCTCGACCCCTTCCCCAGGACGAGCTTCTCCTCCAGAGTCGTCCTTCGACGGACCCAGGGCCTGGTAAGGGCCCTCTCGAGGCCGAACATGGCCGAAAGCCTCACGACCACGACCCCCGACCTCTCGAACACTTCCCTGGGACTGGTTTGTCAGTGCGAGTCGTTCATTGACGACGGCCCCCAGGCCCTGGAAAGGGCCCCGAGGGGCCGAAAACTGGAAAACCTCCGTCTCGATTTTTTCGTTGTAGAGGCTCCTAGATGGGTCGGAGTAGATGGGGTCGGAGGATCGCGCCGCATCGCTGATACATCGGCGATGCATCGGTGATGCATCCGCGACGCACCGGCGATGCATCGTCGACGTCGGCGGTGCCTCGGCGACGCAAATCGGGCTCCGCATCGAGCCGCACTGGCCGTGCATCGGCGCTGCGGCGCGACCCTCCGACCCCTCGGGGGCGGCAAAGAGGGGGGTGATGACTAGAGGGGCTGGATATCATGGCGGGGGCCATGATATTTCCCGAGATTTCATGGCGCCTCCTCTTGTTTCATTACGTCCCTGGCCTCCCCGCTGGGCCGCGCACATGCCGCCGGTCATGATTTGCCCCCCCCTCTTGGATACCTCTCTCTTGGCCGCTCCCGAACCTACTCCGCCCACATCTGGGAGGCCTAGAAGTTGGCGCCCTCCGAGAGAGGCCGACGCCGACGAGCAGGCCATCGGCAGCTCCGCAGAGGCCTCCGGCGCCGCTCCTGTCCCCGGCGGCGGCGCCGCGCCCGCCGCCGGCGGCGCCGAGCGCCAGGGCACGGGCGGCGCGGTGGAGGCCGGCGGTCCCGAGGACGCACCGCGGGCATGTGTCCCCCTTGGCTGTTGCTGGGGGCCGTTCCTCGTCATCATCATCATCATCATCATCATCATCATCATCATCATCATCATCATCATCATCATCATCATCATCATCATCATCATCATCACCATCATGATCATCACCATCACCATCACCATCACCATCACCATCATCATCATCATCATCATCATCACCATCATCATCATCATCATCATTCAGAGGACGCGCCCCCCCTTGCTTTCGCAGTCTGCAGAGGGCCAAGCACCCCACCCGCGCAGGGCGATGTGCACCGGCGCGTGTGCTCTGCACGCCGCACCGTGTCGAGTCCGACGTGAAGAAGGGCAATCGGCCTTGTTCGACCGCAACATCACGAACAGCCGCGCCATGATGTGCACCGCGTTGATCCTCACAATCGGGAACAACCAGGGGATGGGTGACGTCGGCTACGACAAGAGCTACGACATCTACGTCCCGCCGCAGCACCTGCGCCTGTTCGACGGGCCTGGCCTGGTGGTCGACACCACCATCAAACCGAACATCTCCCGCGAGACGCTGCAGCAGAACAAGATCTTGCGAGCGAGCAAGAGGAATCTCGTCAAGAAGTGCCTCGAGATGTTTGCGGAGATCGCCGAGAAGAAGGACGACTACAAGAAGTTCCACGAGCAGTTCGGCAAGCGCCTCAAGCTTGGCGTGCACGAAGATTCCACCAACCGCACCAAGGTCGCGGAGTTTATGCGCTACCACACCTCGAAATCTGGAGATAAGATGATCAGCGTGAAGGAGTATGTGGACCGCATGAAGGAGGGGCATAATGACATTAACCACAGTACGGGGGAGAGCATCGCAGCGGTGTCGTCCTCGCCTTTCCTGGAAACGCTGCGCAAGAAGGGTCTCGAGGTCCTCTACATGACCGATCCCATCGATGAGTACTCCGTGCAGCAGCTGAAGGAGTTCGACGGCAAGAAGCTCAAGTCGACGACCAAGGAAGGTTTGGACCTCGAGGACGAGGACGAGAAGAAGAAGTTGGAGGAGCTGAAGGCGGACTTCGAGCCGCTGATGAAGCTGATGAAGGAGGTGCTGGGCGACAAGGTGGAGAAGGTGGTTCTTGTCAGTTCGCGCATGGCGGACTCGCCCTGCGTGTTGACCACGCACGGCCTGCAGCCGAAGCCTTTCGTCGAGGCCTGCTATGGCTTCTGGCAGGACGGCGACTTCATAAAGAACGACGAGCCCCTGAGCAACGTTCTGCCAGATGAACATGAAAGCGCAGGCCCTCCGGCATTACTGCATGCCCTTAACATGGCGTCCAACAAGATTCTCATCTTTGGCTTCCAAAGGGGGCGGGCAAGCTCATGGGCATGGCCTTCCGCGTGCCCACCATCGACGCGTCGGTCGTGGACCTCACCTGTGAGCTGGAGAAGGCGACGACCTACGAGGAGATTTGCGCCAAGATGAAGAGGCGCTCCGAGGGCGACATGAAGGGATACTTGGGCTACTGCGACGAGGCTCTCGTGTCCACCGACTTCGAGACGTGCCCCATCTCCAGCACCTTCGATTCCAAGGCGGGCATCATGCTGGATCCCACGTTCGTGAAGCTCGTGGCCTGGTACGACAACGAGTGGGGCTTTTCGTGCCGTGCCGTTGACCCGATCAAGCACATGGCCAAGGTCGACGGGGCGTAGGATGTAGGATGCGCCGCGTTCTCACTGTGCAGTCGCTGTCCCATCTGTTTTCTCTTATACGGGCCTACGCAGATCGCAGGGCGCATCCACCGCATGCCTGCCCCCTCTTGAGGAGATCGTGGGCGCAGCCAACGAGGCATCGAAGATGCCACGGCCATATTTGCATCTTTTTTACGTTAAATGACTCGGGCACCCGCTCGCCTGCGTGTAATGGGGCTTTGAATTACTTGCGACTCGGATCGGCCACCGCCAGTCTTTCGTAAGCACCCGCTCGCATGCAAGCTAGATACACGGTCTCTGGCTGTGCGTCGAAGCACCCCGAGTGCACTCGCCCCACGCGGGTTCATCGGGACATGACTCTGTTATGCTCTCTGCGACGGACCACCAATTGCAGACTTGGTCCTGATGTCGAGGAACAAACTCATCGTCATCGTCATTGTCATCGTTATTATTATCATCATCATCGTCATCGTCGTCGTCACCATCGTCCTCAGCATCATTAGCATAGTCATAGTCATATTAATATTCATACGCGCCTTCATCATATTCATGTTCACATTTACCAGATTCGCTGTCGCCGTGGTCGCCTCCATCATCATCAGCATCGTCGTCGTCATCGTTATCATCACTAACATCTGCATCGTCAGCGTCAGCAGTAGCAGCATCTCGCTAAAGTTCATCCTATTCTTCATTATCAGCACCATCTTCCGCAGCATATTCGCCGTCGCCGTCGCCTTCATCGGCATCATCATCACCACCATCATCAGCATCTTCGTCGCCACCATCATCACCATCACCATCTGCATCACCATCACCATCCACATCATCATCACCATCAGCATCAGCAGCTTCGTCATGCTCATCATCATCACCATCATCATTTTTTCTTCATCATCATCATTCTCACCATCATCAACATCATCGTCATCGCCATCTTCACCGTCACCATCATCATAACCATGCGTTCGAGTCGTTAGCCCTCCCGTAGGCCCCGGGCGTTCAGAACCTGCGTGCCCGCGTCGTGAAGCGCAATCGCGACGGGAGATTGTTTATACCAAGGTTGCAAGCTTCGCGTTTCTCCCACAAGCTAGGTGCGTTCGCCTTACTGTGGAGCATGTTGCTTAATGCATATGCACACCTCGCTTTCTTTGCGAATTTTTACTGCAGGTGCGTTGCCTGTTGTAGCGAATTAGCCTCGCCTGCTGGCCCAGACGACGCCTTCCGTTCCCTGTCCGCCGCCTCGGAGCCGCTGACCCCCCCCAAAAAAATATATCCCCACAAACCCATCCAGGAGCGATGCCTCGGGGAGCTGCCCTTGTCGGGGGAGCGCGGCATTCCTTTGGATACGCCGGGGAGCCCCTTTGAACTAAAGGCCGTGTGGATGCCTTCCGGAGTCGCTCGGAATTTCGCCTGGTCAGCTCTTGGTGGCTCCTTAGAGCGTCTTGGGGACTTTTTGGGGACTTCTTGGGGGCCGCTTGGGGCTTTGGAGGGGTTTCTTAGGCCCCCTAGGGGCCTCAGAGGGCCTTTTTGGGGCCCTCTTGGGGGCCTTCTTGGGGCCATCTCGGAGGACATCGATCAAAGAATGGAATTTTCGGATTTTCCTCATCAGCGCTGCCTCTCCTGGGCCCCCAAAAGTCACCTTTTGCGGCCTTCTTGGGGCGTTCTTGGGCCACTCTTGGGCGCTTTGGGGGCCGTATTGGGGCCCTCCTGGGCCTTTTTCAGGAGTCCCTCTTAGGCCATCCTGGACCCACATTCTGGGCTCGGAAGGCCATCAGATATGACAATATGAGACGGTGAAACATAGTGTTTCTCCATGGGTGTTGTAGGTATTTGAGCCTATTTGGGGCGTCCCGGGGAGCCCCCAAAGCAACTTTTTCGACCTGTCTTTGAGCGGTGTTTCGACCTCTTGGAGAATGTTGGAAGCCATCTTAAGCGAATTCGCGCTACTTTCAGCCAGAGGCTCATCTTGGGCTATCGGGGGCCCCCGTGGCACCATTTTGGGTGCCAGACCCTGGGAGAGAGGGGAGGGAGGAGAGTGGGAAAGCCCCTCCCTTCCTCCCTCCCTCCCTCCCTCAATCCCCCCAAGGCTGGACCTAAACGGTGTTTTTGGTGATTTTGTGGGCCGTTTTCGTTTCGACCTCGTTTTGCGGTAAAGGCGGCTTCGAGACAAAAGCGAGGGAAGACGAAAACAAAACGAAAACGAAAAACACCGTTTAGGTTCATTCCTGCATCCCTCCCTCTGGAAGCGCCCTAGACCACCTACGCCCTGAAGGGCTGGTGGGATTTTCGGCCTCCGGGGGCCTTCAGTCAGCAGCTGGCCCGTGATGAGAACCTGGCCTTGGGGAAAGGATCGGAACCTTCAGGGACCGCGCATGGAAGAAACCAAGACACTGCATGTTTGGGGAGTTGGAGGAGGCAGTGCCCTAAACCACCTGCGCCGTGAAGGGCTGGTGGGATCTTCGGCCTCCAGGGGCCGTGACCCGGCCGGCCGTCGAAAATTGGCCTGGGATGACAGGTCGGACTCGGGGGGGGAGGGTCTGGACTTCCGGGGACCGCGTATGTCGGGAGGGGGGCAAAAACACACACACAGACACAATGAATGGATCGACGACTCCCAGGAAAAGAAGGGGCAGTGTGGGGAGTTTGGGGGGGGGAGGGAGACGCAGGCCCGGCAAATCTGAGAAAAGATGGGGTGGGGGGTCCTGGGATTTGTTTGTGTTTGTGTGTGTGTGTGTCTGTGTGTGTGTCTGTGTCTGTGTGTGTCTGTGTCTTTGTCTTTGTCTGTGTCTGTGTCTGTGTCTGTGTCTGTGTCTGTGTCTGTGTGTGTGTGTGTGTCTGTGTGTGCGTGTGTGTGCCATGCGTGCGTGTCCGTGTGTGTGTGTGTCCGTGTGTCCGTGTGTGTGTGTGTTGTGTGTGTGTGTGCGTGTGTGTGTGCCATGCGTGCGTGTCCGTATGTGTGTGTGTGTGTGTCTGTGTGTGTGTGTGTCTGTGTGTGTCTGTGTCTGTGTCTGTGTCTGTGTCTGTGTCTGTGTCTGTGTCTGTGTCTGTGTCTGTGTGTCTGTGCACTTCTTTGCGTGTCCCTGGGCCCCTTCCAGCATGGAAGAGTTCGGCCACGCGCAGAGGGGGGAGTGCTCCTCAGAAGCACCCCCTGCTTCTCAGAAGGTGCGGGCCCTGTCTGCAGATGTGAGGCCGGCGCCTTCTGAGAGGCAGCCTCCTTCTAAGAAGCCCTCCCCCCTCTCCCTGCCCCTCTTCAGAGCCCCGAATCATCAGGGGTAACTCGGGTCAGGGATAACTCGGGTTCGTTTTTCGGGAATCCAAACCCGAGTTTCCCCGGACCCGAGTTACCCCGGATAACTCGGGCGTCCAGAGCCCCGAATCATCAGGGGTAATTCGGGTCAGGGATAACTCGGGTTCCTTTTTCGGGAATCCAAACCCGAGTTACCCCGGACCCGAGTTACCCCGGATAACTCGGGCGTCCAGAGCCCCGAATCATCAGGGGTCACTCGGGTCAGGGATAACTCGGGTTCCTTTTTCGGGAATCCAAACCCGAGTTACCCCGGACCCGAGCTACCCCGGATAACTCGGGCGCCCAACCTCTCTGCGCGCCGCCAAAGAGTCGAGGCGCCGCACGCCTGGGCTCCCGCGGCCGGCGGGGGGCACCCCGAGAGGTCCGGGCGCCGCGGGCGGTGTCCGCGCGGGGTGCCGCCGCCCTGCGTCGGGCCCGCAGACCATCGCGTCGGAGGTGGGCAGACCTCCTGCCCCGACACGTCGATCGGCGAATCGGACGCTGTCAGTTCGCGAGAGGGCTGGGGGGGGGGCACGTGCGAACCCCACCCCTACCCCCCACGATTCCTGAGGGGGAGGGTGGGGTTCACTCCGTTCGGGAGCTCCCGAGCGGAGTGAACCCCACCCTCCCCCTCAGAAATCGTGGGAGATCACCGGGCGTGCATATCCGCCGTCTCGTAGTCGCGTTCGGGTCTGTCGAGGAGCGGTGGACAGAACCCCCAACAGCGACACGTCGATTGGTGACATGTGGATCGTCGCCCGCCCGAGGGCTCTCGTCGGCATCCAGGGGATCCCAGGGCAGGGCTCCGCTGGCTGCAGGTGAGGTCCTCCATCATGGGGCCCGCGCCACGTCGCCGAGGCATCGGAGGTGCGGCGCGGCTCGGACCCGATGTTTTCTCCATCCCGACGTCTCGGAGGTGGATCGACCTCCTACCCTGACACGTCGATCGAGGAATTGGCCGTTGTCAGTTCGCGAGAGGGCGTCGCGGCCGTCTCTTTCGTGGGCCCAGGTCCGCCGGTATCGGTCCCAGGCCGTTTTCATTAAGGGGAGGTTTGCTAAAGGGAGGTTTGTCCACCGCCAAACTGGCAAAGTGTCTACTCGCAAACGGCATGAACATCATAGGTTCCTCTATGTAAGGTATCGTAAATCCCCCGCGGCGGATCCAGGCCATCTGCGAGTAGTTAATTCAGCGAGTAGTGGAACGCACGTGTCCACGTCGGGAAACGACTCAGGACGAAATGCTGGCCCTGGGGGAAGGCCTCAGGGTCATGTCGGGCACGTCCCTCTACAGGAGGCATATTCAAACACAGTTAAAAAATGATCGGGGCACGGCTTTTCAGTTTTGTTTTGCTATTTTTGTTTTTTCATTCTTTGCTTACTTTTCATTTTTCCTCCAAAATCCCCGACCTAACCCCATGGTCCAGGACCCGTTCCCCCTCCGCATCCCTTCCCTTGCGCTGCCTCTCCCGCTCCTCTCCTGCCTCCGCCCGCCTTGGCATGGCTCGGACGTGTGCCTTTTTTCCTCGGTGGGGACCATCGAGGAGCATCCTTGATCATTTGGCGAAAAAACCACGCACGAAACTGAAAAAAACACATGAAATGGACGTCCGAGCGATGGCGAGCAAAATCCGCCTGTAGGAGGACATGCCCGACCTAACCCCAGGGTCCAGGATCCGTGCCCCCTCCGCAGTCCTTCCCCTGCGCTGCCTCTCCCGCTCCTCTCCTGCCTCCGCCCGCCTTGGCATCGCTCGGACGTGTGCATGTTTTCCTCGGCGAGGACCATCGCGAAGCATGCTTTATCATGTGGCGAAAAAACCGTCAAAAACCGAAGAAAAAAAAACACAGGAAATGGACGTCCGAGCGATGGCCAGCCGCGCGCCAGAGTCGAGGAGGGAGGGGAGGAGGGCCGGGGGCGTGGGCGATGGAGCGCCGGGGCGTCCGAGCTCGTTGCTCCTCGCCTCCGGGGCTCTGATGTTCCAACCTGCTGTAGCCTTGACTTTAGTGGGCCCCGGAAGCGACAGGGCCGTTTTTTTACTGGTTCCGTTCTGCCGTTTTTGTTGCCGGTTCCGACGCTGTTTTTTTAACGGTTCCGTTGCCTTTTTTTGACCGGTTCCGTCTCCGGTTCCAATCCCGGAGCCGTTTCCGGTCGCCGTTTTTTTGCCGTTTCCATTTTCAAGGGACATTTTTTCGGAAACGGTGAAAAAACGGCCTTGCCGTTTCCGGGGCCCACAAAGGCCTTGACTGCCAGAAAGAATCTCGAGCACCAAGAATGGATGCCGAAACTGGAGGGCTTTCACGTGTCGGTCCCTGGGAGGCGAGACTCGTTCGAAGCTGTTCCGATGCTGTGCTGGGTGCTCGAAGTTTTGGGATGTGGTCAGAAAGTATCGGGGGCGGAAAAGAGGGGGGTGATGACTAGGGGGGGGTGGATATCATGGCGGGGGCCATGATGTTTCCCCAGATTTCATGGCGCCTCTTCTTATCTCATGACGTCCCTGGCCCCCCCGCCGGGCCGCGCACGTGCCGCCGGTCGCGATTCGCACCCCCCCTTCTTGGACACCCCCCTCTTGGCCGCTCCAGGGTCGGAGCAGGCCTCCGCGGCTTGGCTCGTCTTGCATCGGCCGGGGGCCTCGAGACGGGGGGGTCGCTGCAGACGGGGGCCAGCCAGAGCGCCGGATCTTGCAGGATGCTGCAGAGCCAGGGGTGCATTGACCCGGGCTGGCGCGCAGTCTTCTTTCTACACGGACGAGATGGGTACGGAAAGAATGGGTACAATGCCCAACTGCAGCTTCTGCTCATTTTGAACAGGACTCGCTGTCCGCGCCGCCGCGGCCTGTGTCCAGAAGGCCGCCTGCCCAACAGCGGCCGCTGTTGGTTCGGGACAACATTTGCTGTTGGGCATTGTACCCATTTGTTCCGTGCCCATTTCGACCGTCCAAGACGGCCGACGCAGCCCTCTACTTTGAAACGGTTCAAGTAAAGACGTCCCCATGGGACAGCCACGAGACGGCCCAAGAGGGCCCGAAGATGGCCCAAGAGGCCGCCCAAGTAGCCGCCCAAGAAGCCTCCAAACCCCCAGGGGGGCACTGGCCCGGGCTGACGCGCAGTCTCCTCGAGGATCTTGCAGCATCCTGCGTCGCTTGGGAGCTCCCGAACGAAGTGAACCCCACCCTCCCCCTCAGAAATCGTGGGGGGGTGGGGTAGGATTCGCATGTGGCCCCCTATAACGACCGTTACCCGGGCCCCCCCCCTCTGAAAAGGAAACAGCGGGGGAAAAAACATAACATAACCTCAGCACGAGAAGCCTCAGCCTCCCCAGGAAGAGAGAACAGAAAAAAAGGCCAGGAAAGAGGACAGAAGAGAACCCCCTGAGGTCTCAGCCTCAGGGTAACGACCGTTGCCCAGGACAGAGCCGAAAGCGGTCACCTGGAGGCGTCTCTCGTCGCCGCGGCCGGCCGGATCCGCCCCGGAAGAGCGGGTGTGTGGCAGGTCCGCGTCGGACGCCGCCGGCGACCAGCCCGCCGGTTGGCGGTCCGCGTCGGGCGCCGCCGGCGACCCAGAGAAGCTGTCGACGTGAGCCCTTAGAGGCGAGCAAGAGAAAGCCCCCCCCCCCAAGAAAACCGCCCCCCAGGGATTATCTGTCGACGTGAGCCCTGAGAGGCGAGCAAGAGAAAGCCCCCCCCCCAAGAAAACCGCCCCCCAGGATGATCTGTCGACGTGAGCCCTGAGAGGCGAGCATGAGAAAGCCCCCCCCCCCAAAGAGAACCGCCCCCAAGGATTAGCTGTCGACGTGAGCCCTGAGAGGCGAGCAAGAAAGGCCCCCCCAAGAGAATCGCCCCCAAGGATTAGCTGTCGACGTTAACTCTGAGAGGCAAGCAAGAAAGCCCCCCCCCAAGAAAACCACCCCCAAGGATTATCTGATTACGGCGCGGTGCCAACTAACGAACCGCGTGGGGGGTTCTTCATTGCTCACTGCGGTCAAGCGATCTGTCTGACGTTTCGGAAGCGGCCGATCGTTCAAGATTGAACGGTCCCCACGTTGTGAGGGACCAACGCCGTGGTCGGCACGACCCGAGCTTGCCGTATACGTCCGCTTTTTCTCGTGTTTGCTGTTCCCGTGGAAGCTGGAGGGCCTCCCGTGGGGTCGACGCGGAGGCCTCCTCGGAGGCACCCCTTGGGTCAAGAGGCTGTTTTTGTTTGTCAAGAGTCCCAGATAACCTGGCCCTGCCTGTTGCGCATGCTCGAAGGGCCCTTCTCGCAAGTTCTTCTGGGGCCTGGAGCGCCTCCCGTAAGGGTGCCGAGAGCGCCTCCGCGTAGAGTTGACTTGGGAGTTCGTCGGAGGTGCACGGAAACCAGGAGTCCGCCTGGTCGTCGGGGAGACTTCAGGGAATCTGTCTGGAGGCCTTCGGGATTATCTTGGGCCCTCGTCGGAGACTTTGAAGCCCTGTTTGTGGTCATCGGGGCTCCTTGTTGAGTTCTGTCTTGGGCGATGTTGCGGCCATCTTGATGCCTCCGTTCAAACATTTTAGGTGTTTGAACGATTCGGGCCTCTTAGGATCATCTTTTTGGAGGCTTCGATGTCCGTTGAATCCGTCTTGAAGGCATCGCATGGCCCTTTGGTGACACGATGTGCTTTCACTTGAGCGACGTAAGAACACGAGGCTGACTGCGCCGGCACTGGCGCGTAACCTTCCCGCGTAAGGTCGCGCGTGCGCTGCATCGCCTCCACTGTGGCGTGCCGCGCTGGCGGCCCGCGTAAGCAAGCCGCCGAGTAACTTGGCATCGCTCGGACGTGTGCATTTTTCCTTCGGCGAGGACCATCGAGGAGCATCCTTGATCATTTGGCGAAAAAAACCACGCACGAAACCGAAAAAAACATAGGGAATGGACGTCCGAGCGATGGCCAGGTAAGGTCGCGTTGTCTTCTCGAGTGAGATCCGTTTCCTTTCGTCGCTCACCTTGTGCTCCGCAGGACGACAGCTCCAGTCGCACCGTCGCCGAGGAGGCGAATGCCACCGGGGCGGAGGGCGGCAAGGCCGAGGAGGCCGAGGAGACCAAGAGCACCAGCGTCGAGGCGCCCGCCCGACTCCGACGAGGGAGGCGTATGTTCGATGCTCGTCTTGGGGACCTTCCTGGGGCCCACCTAATTGATCTGTTCGACTCAGGTTCGACTCAAGTTCGACTCAGGTTCGACTCAGGTTCGACTCAGGTTCGACTCAGATTCGACTCAGGTTCGACTCAGATTCGACTCAGGTTCGACTCAGGATCGACTCAGGTTCGACGCACGAGTGGAGCGAGTGGCTCCAGGAAGGTCCCCAGAATGAGCATCTAACGGATGGGCTGGTTTCGCTGTCGCTTTCGGGATGTCTCAGGCTGAAGTTTTATGTCCGAAGCTCCGACGATGACAATTGCGTAAGCGATCTCAACATCCCAGTTTCGTAAGCACGTCTCAGGCGAAGCGCCCACTATTACGAAACGAGGTCATGAAGGACAAATAATACAGTGGAGTCATGCCAAGAAGCACCCTGCCTGCCTCCAGGGTGCCCTGGGTTTCTTGGGTCTCGATGGTTTGGTTGAGGATAGCGCGACGTTCCGACACAGTAAAAGTCAGTGGACGCCCTGCAGGTCTCAGGGTGGGGTTTATTGTGGAAGGTTTCTTGTAGTCGAGCCCCTACTGTAAAGGAAGTCTTTCGACATCTAATTTGCTTGAAGATGCCCCAGGTGACCGCCTGGACCAGGAAAAGACGCAGGATGAGCAATAATGTTCCACATGTCAAGGCCTCGGGTCCGGGACTCGTTTCCTCCGGGGTGCGTTCCGTTTTGTGTGCCGTGTTTGACGTTGCAGGCGTCGGGCGGGCGGCCCACCGCGAGCAGGAGAAGCGGACCGAGTTTGTTCAGGGGCGGCGCTTGCAGGGGAGAGGAGGGGCTTGGCCCGAGCGGGGTAACATCAGCCCATAACTGCCAGTGCGTTCGTCGAACGATCGGAGCTCGGATGTCAATCCAATGGGAGACGCCCTCCTCCCGCGGAGCCGAACCCCCCCTTTTCCTGGAGGCAGACCTCTTGGCGCCTTCCAGGGTTGTATCAGGGCCTCTTGGGCGGTTTTGGAGGTCTCTCAAGCCGTCGGAAGGAGCGCTTTCTGCCGCTGCCGGCAGGGGGGGGGGCACCCCCCCGCGACGACAACGACGGCGGACAAGGCACGACGACCGCGACCACGACGACGACGACGCAGATTCCGACGCCGGCGACGGCGACGACGACCACGGCGATGCCGATGACAACGACGAGGACGACAACGACGATGACGGCAACGACGACGAAGACGACGACGACGAAGACGCCTACGACGACGCCGACGACAATCGAGCCTCAGTGGGATGGGATTAAATTTGGACCGAACCTTTGTAGGGTTCTTTTTTAGTTTTACTGAGCCCCAGTAGGATTCCATTAGAGTTGGATCCAGCCTCAGTGAGATTCTTTTCCAGATGGATCGAGCCCTAGTAGGGTTCTCTGAGCTCTGGATCTCACTCTGCACAGCTTTTGCGTGAACGGTGCATCGAGCTTTCGCAGAATTCCATCAGACCTGGCTTCAGGCTTGATTTGAATATTTTAGAGCTGCACCCAGCAGTACTGGGATGGAACTTAGAGCTAGATCAAGCCTAATTCGGATTCTATTAAGGAGGGTTCAGCCCTGCTACCACGGTTCCATTAGTGATGTTTCCAGCCCGAGTCGGATTCGATCAGATTTGAGTCAAGTCTTCGTAGGATTCTGAGAGAGCTGGACCGACCACAAAGAAGGACGTTGTAAAAGCTGGATGGGGCCTCAGCAGGATTCCGTTAGAGCTGGATCGAGACCGAGTAAGATTGCATTAGAGTTGGATTGGACTTCAGCAGGAATCCATCGGATATAGACACAGCTCCACGGGGATGCCTATTAACGCTGGATCGACCCCTTGTGCAATGTCTCAAGAATTTGATTCAAGCATCGTAGGACCTTGTTCAAGCTGTACCGAGCCCTCGTGGCATTCTATGTGAGCTAGATCCAGCACGAATGAAATGATTTTGGGTCTGGACTGTGCCTTGCTAGGACTCCATCAGAGCTGGGTTGGCCCCTAGTAGGTTTCTGCGAAAGCTGGACCGAGCCTCTGTAGGACTCGTTTTGGCATGGAGCGAACCCGGAATTGGATTTGATCAGAGCTGGTTCCAGCCTGTTCCTTTACAGTTGGATCGAGTCCTAGTTGTTCAGGAGAGGGAAAAAAATAACACTGACACAATTAATCGTCGATTCTCAAGAAAATATGGGAAAGTATGGGAAGTGTGGGGGAAGACAGAAAACGCAGAAAATATGGGAGAATATAGGGAATCCTGCTATTTGTGTCTATTTCTTCGCGTGTCCCAGGGCCCCTTCAGTTGTGTGCAATTCGAGTGGGATCGACGCCGAACTGCATCCCCCTAATTTAGGGGAGCGCAAAATGACATAAGCGTAACAACTCGGAGGTCCGCGCGGATTTCTTGGATCCGCGCTGACCCCCTCCCTAGCGCGCGGAGCGCGCCAGGAGCGGCGCCGGTGGCGCCGCCAGGGGGCCCCAGCGCCGATCCGAGAAGTCCGCGCAGACCTCCGAGTTTCATGCCTATTCCCCAACCAGAGCTTGCCTCTGTAGGGGTCCTACAGGCTTCGGAACAAATTAGCGAACACTCGTGCCACATTCATCTGTCAACGCCTCCCCCCCCCCCAATGTTCAAAAGTTGGCGGTGGGTCTGATGGGGTGCACTTCGACCGCAGTCTCCCCCGCGCGTGCCAGCGTTGAGTTTGGGGGGGTGGGGGGGTGTTCAGTAATTGTTTCCCTCTACCGTCGTCGTCGTCGTCGTTGCTGGGGAGGGGTTGGGCCCGTCGAGTATTTTTCCGGCCCGAAGGGGTGTGAGGCGATCTGGACTCCCCCGAAGGATGCTCCTGGGGAGAAGGGGGGGCGGACCTGCGAATGGGACAAATTACAATCAGAGAAAAACAACTTTTAGACATGGTGTGTCCAACCACTTTTGTATTAATTCCGATTACTTCAGTATGAATTCTACCCGACATTACACGCGTTCTACAAGGTATCTCTACACGAGAAGCCTCACAGACGTCTTACTGGCGCTGTACAGGCGTTTTACAGTCGTATTTCGATCGTCTGTCAAAGGCCTCTCTGAACAGGCGTTTTACAGGCGTCTCTGACATGTGTTTCTGACAGGCGTCGTTCATGCGGCTCCGGGAGGCGTCTCTGAAAGACGTGCCGCACAGGTGGCCCAGAGAGGCGTCCCACAGGCGTCCCTGAGAGGCGTGTTACAGGTGCCAGGGAGAGTCGTCTCTGGGAGGCGTCTCTGGAAGGCGTCGTTGGGAGGCGTCTTGCAAGTGTCTCTGGGACGCGTCTTGCAGGCGCCACTGAGAGGCGTCTCTGGGAAACGTCTTACGGCGTCTCTGACAGGCGTCTTTCAGGCGCACCTGACAGGCACTGAAAGGCGTTCTAGAAGCGCCTTTGAGAGGCGTCGTACAGGCGCTTCTGGCAGGCGTGTCTGAGAGGCGCCTCTGAGAAGCGTCTCTGGAAGGCGCCTCTCAGAGGCATGTTACACGCGTCTTTGAACGGCGTTCCTGAGAGGCGTCTTTGTGAGGCGTCACTTTGATACGACATCCAACCAACTTACATGAGAAGCCTCACAGGCGTCTTACATGCGTCTTGCAGCCATCTTGGATGCGTCTGTCAGAGGCCTCTGTGGGAGGCATTGTACAGGCATCTCTGACAGTCGTCTTACGGGCATCTTTGAGAGGCGCTTCGGAGAGCGTCTTACAGGCGGCCCGGAGAAGCGTCTTGCAGGCGTCCTTGAGAGGCGTTTGGCAGGTGCCGCTGAGAGGCGTCTCTGAGCGGCGTTTTCCAGGCGCCTTGGATAGGCGTCTTACAGGCTTATGTGAGAGGCGTCTACTAGAGACGTCTCTGAGAGGCGTCTTACAGGCGCCTGTGGGACGCGTCTTACAGGCGCTTGTGGGAGGCGTCTCTGAGAGGCGTATGACATGCGCCCCTGAGAGTCGTCCTGAGAGGCGTGTGTACATGCGCCTCTGAGAGGCGTTTCTGAGAGGCGTCTTACAGGCGTCTGTGAGAGGTGCCTCTGAGTTGCGTCTCCCAGGAATGTCTGGCGATGTTTTTTTGTTGATGTTTCCCTCGGACTTTTGTTTTGTTGCCCATCCTGAGTACCACATCCTCGCGAGCCGATGTACTAGGATCGCCCCGCAAGTACCAATTCACTGTGAGGTTACTTGGCACGTTGGAGTTAGCACCGGTTCTGATGTTCCTGCTGGCAGGAGAAAGCACCAGCTCGTAGGGGTTTGTCCCAGCTGGTTGGGATTATTCTGGCATGTGGGCGGACCTCCCGTTTCTTTGCGGGGCGGGGTGGGGGCTCTGGGGGAGTTTCGGGGGGCGGGCTGGTTTCTGACCCCCCAGTTCGGACCTGTCCAAACCATCCACCTCGCTTTGAAGAGACAGCGCCCCGAGTTCCCTCACCTTCCTCCTCCTCCTCCTCGTCCTCCTCCTCCTCCTCCTCCCAGCCCTTGCCCCTGCCCTCCACATGCGTCTCCATTTCGGCACACCCCTCACACGTTTCGTGGCCCCATAGGGAGCTCCACCCAAGGCCCCAATGGTGACGTTCACACGCGTCCCCGCACCCATGTCGGCACACCCCTCACACGCTTCGTGGCCCAATATGGGGGCCCCACTTAAGCCCAAGAGGTGCCGTTCGCATGCGCCCCCCACGCCTACATCGTTACACCCCTCACACGCTCCGTGGCCCCATAGGGAGCTCCACCGAAGGCCCCAGCGGCGCAGTTCGCACGCGTCTCCGCCGTCGATCTCGGCACGGCACACCCCTCGCACGCTTCGTGCCCCCATAGGGAGCTCCACCCACGGCCCCATCCGCGCCGTTCGCACGCGTCCCCGCCGCCCCAATGGTGCCGTTCGCATGCACCGGGGGCGGCAGAGAGGGGGGTGATGACTAAGGGGGGGTATCATGGCGGGGGCCATGATATTTCCCCAGATTTCAGGGCGCCT